CAAGACGAATTTTACTGATTTGCGGGTAAAATTGAAAACAGAACGTGTAATACAGGAGCTGTGGGTAGATGCAATCATCAAAACAACTTTGACAGATAGGATCGTGCTTACCTCTCATAAACTAAAACATATTGTTGTTTTAAAACCGAAGAATACAGGTTAAAAAATACATTTATTAATACACCTCATTTTTTCACGCTATGTAACTGATTGTGTACACGTTATTTCGATATATTACACTATTTTTCTCACCGCATGGTGCTAGCTTTTCTGTGTCTATGCCCCACGTGACGCGTAGGCGCAACACAACGATACGTTCTTGAAACTATGATTATTCTACATGCTTTATTATACCTGCATTCTTCACTCAATCGACACAAACCCGGCCAAGTACAAATCAATTTCTATATTCTAAAATTTTAAACGTTTGTTTCACTAAACATATGTACATACAATATACATATATCTTAATTGATTTATTGTTTATATAAAATCCGTGCATTGAAACCTGAATGCAATTAGGTAAAGGTCGGTAGTAAAACTATGTTTACCAATGAAGTCTGGGCTATGAATAGATTAGGAACCGTCGTATTATTATAACCAAGGGTGTCGCTAGAAGAGCAAAAAGGAATGTTCCAGAAGGTTTGTTTGAACATTAGGTAACTATAAATATTTGGTATAAACTCAACATTATAAGGGAAAACCCAGGTAAACGAAAATTTATGTAGAAATCCATATGTTTCATTGATAGAGAGGATCTCCAAAGCCTGAACTATGACATGCAATTAACGTATCATTTGTAGATTTACATTTTCCTTAAACATTTTTTGCATTGTTTGGGAAAATTGACCGTAATAGAAATGGTTCTCGGAGTTCGCTTCCTTTACGTCATAATTCTTGGCTTTTACAACAGTTTTGTTTATGATTTGTTTCGAGAAATGCCGTAATGTGTTGTACAGTGTACTTTGACTACAAAATATCAATTGTTCTGTGTAACACATAATTCAGCTTCTAATTGACTATTAGAAACGTCTTCATTAGAACTTGGGAGTTTACGTTTGAGTTACGCATACTAAAAGCTTGTTTTACATAAACTTTGAAGATAGTTGAGAGACTAAATAACATTTGTTTTGAGTGGGAAGCGAGGGTTTCTTTAATGATATTTGGGCTTTGTGTTTTAATGTTCAAAGTCGCGGGGTGCCAATGAATGCAGGTAGCAACTTGTCGTTCGGCTTTTGTCCAGCAGTGGACGTCTTCCGGCTGATGATGATGATGAATTCATGAGATATCAGTCATTAAGATACGATTCCAAGATATGTCAACAAGCTAATGGGCTTGTTAAACTGAAATAAATTGTTAAACTATACAATAAAAGCAATGAATTTAACATCACATCAGAGGAAGGACGAATAACCTATGAGAAGCCTATATACCAATTCCTAAATAAACCAATTGTAACTCACTGACAGACAAACTCTAGACAAAATAGAACTCTTGATGCAGAACAAATGTTTTCGTAGTAAAAAAATTATAATTTTACAGTTCAACAGAACAAATATTTCAATTTATACCAATTTCCTATGTTCTAGGAAATAAAAATATCTATGTGTTTCATGTATTTTGGTGTTTAATACAAACACAATTGTTTAGAATACATTTCCGTGATAATATTTATAAGTTGAAATTGTACTGACTTCTGAATAAAAGCGTGTATTGTGTTTACAACACATGGATCTATGAATGGCTGAAGGTTGTTGGGAACCATATGGGGGGAAACGAATGTCTGGTGTTTGTTTGAAATTATCATTTCTGGTTTTAAACGATTACATTGTAGAATCAAACGGTATGCAGCATTTGTTTCTTCATTATTTGAGAGATTATTTTTTTCGTGAAGGTAAAATCATCAAATGACTTCTCCCGCCCAGTGTTGGGAGGGAGGGTGTGTCAGACTCTTACTAACTAAAAACTCCCCGTTCCTTCTGCTTTGTCCCGAGGTCGCGGTGCCTCATTGCGGTGCATCAGCCCTACAGGGTCCCGTTTGTGGTGGTCTATTGGCTCATTGAGGCGCGCGAGGAATGCTACGCGCCGTACGCTCGGGTCTGGTTCTGATCGTGGCCCGAGATCCTATCTCGTATATTTGAGAGGATATCAACTGGATACATTTGTTTGATTGATCTTCAGTTTTCTTTTGAGAAATATAAGTATTATAACTACATAATTTTTACATGATTGGTCGGCAAACGAGTAGACGGCTCAACTGAATGTAAGCTTTCGATGCAGCCCATGTAAACTAGAGGACTTATATTACGAATGCGTTGCTGGCCATTTTGGGGATAAGGACTTCGGAGATTTAGCGATAGGGGAGGGATCGGGAAAGATTGGGCCACCCGTTACCTCATTCACACACATTGTTTCACGACGGTTTTCCGTGAGGCCGTTATATCAGTCCGATCAAGCCGGCCCACTCGTGTTACAATTTAATATTCCCAATTAAATTCTCGTCATCATTATTTTGCTAAGTAATAACCATTAGAAAGACAAAGGAAGACCAATATACAAAACTGCATTAACAAATTAGAATGCCTAGGCAATATGTCCTGCAGTTAGAATTCCAGTTAAGCGTCGCGTGCAACCTAGTTTTTACACATTAGTCCCAGCTATTAATTTAGTTATGCCATCCGCTAACCTAATTTGATCCTCAAGGGTGCTTATTAAAGTGCTTATTATCTTTAACTGCTTTATTATATGGATTTAATATTGATTTATTTTCTAATTACAATCCTTTTGCCAGTTACGTAACCAATGGGTGAATATGAACAGAATCTCTATTTTGCTAAGAATTTAGAATTGGAAATGTCATACTTAATTTAACTTAGATAGTGTTAGAAGCAATAGTGTCGGGCCTCGGCCTGGAGCACGAGAAGAAAAGGGATGGTCACTGGTCAGTCCTCATAACTCTCTTTTCTCAAAAAACAGCTACTGTTAAGAATTTTAAACCATTTCCACATTTAAACCTATTAGCATGTAGCAGCATTTCACGAAAATCTTTCCGATTAGGCTTTTTTGGGAGTCAGTCTATAAGCTCGAGTAGCATACTTATCTATCGCTAAATAGATATGACAATCCACGATTAATTCTAATCAAAGAACAGCCCTTAACTAAACATCGTTGCCAAACAAATATGTACTCAATTATCTTCTAATTAAGCTTCAAGTGTAATCAACTATTGTGAGGATCCTAAGGCTCAAAGCGCATTAGACAACACGTCGCGTGCTCATTCCTTGGCTAATTACTGTAATTCCGCAGCTATAGCTTGTATTGAACAAATTATATCGTGGTTAAGTTGGTTTTGTGACCTTCACCGATATTCTTAGTTATTTTTTTCTTGGTATATTGTCTATTGGCACGGATAATAGACGTCCGTTTGCCAGACTTCGTGGCAAGGTAAATAATGAGACTGTAGATGGTTAAGGTCTGTTTATTACTTTAATTGCTGGTGCTTATATACTAAGAAGATGCGTGAGATTTTCAGATTTAGCTATCCTAACAAACGTGCAACAATTAACATGTATGTCTTATCTCTATCGTATCTAAGTAATGTAGCGACGTGATAGTGCCGCTACATATACTCCCCCCTTTTAAAAATAATTAACATATAAATTGAAAAAAATTAGTATGTACCTAATTATATAATAACTTAACCTTGCTGATAAATTACATCCTATGCGTAATGTAATGTCATTGTTGCTAATTCGAAGGAAATAAAAACTGCTGCCTTTGTTGTGACGGCGGCGGCAGTCGATGAACTATCCACTGCATTTGTGCTGATTGTTTCTTGCTATTGTTTTCACTCTTCTGTCTAAGGTCTTCAGTATTCCGTAGAGAAGAAGGATGCCAATTGTGATGAGGATTTGTCCAATTGCAATGTTTCTCGTCCACCGTAGCTCTTCCAGGACAAGACTTTTGAGATGGTCGGCTTCATTTTGATTAAGGCAACTGTCGGAGTTATATACAATTTGATCTTTGGCTTTTGTTGCCCATTGTTCTCTCGTAGATACTGACGGTATATGATGGTATTTTCAAAATACGGTGAGTATTTAAATGGACTGATTACTTGTGTCAGCAAGTGACGAATCGTACTGTCGGCTTAACCGCCCGTCCTGACTTCGTGATGTACGTGTTCCGCTCGTTGTGATTATTTTCTGAATTTGGCACGTTCGTTCCACTATTGAAGACAAATGCAGGTTTTAATCGGTCTTGCACGTGCTGATACCGGTGGTCCTTTAGTGATAATATGATGCTTAATCTTGTGTTTTGGAGTAGTGTGGAGGGAGGCTGGTTTCGTAATATCCTCGTATTCATTTAATAGTTGAGTAATGCGTGGATTCGTCTCAATGTTAATAGTGCGGATTGTTTGCTGCGTCGATTTGATCAGGGTTGCGGGCGTTGTCAGCTCAGTTACCCTATCTATGAGTTTTCGACCAGCTATATCGACTAATAGCTTAATATGCTCTAAAAAATCTGCTCCAATAATCGGTTGTGTTACATCGGCGATGACAAAGTTCCATACAAAGTTTCTTCGTAGCCCGAAGTTTAAAGAGAGTGTTTTTTCACCATATGTCTTAATTTTTGTACCATTGGCGGCATAAAGTATACATTGTTCATCTTGTATTAGTGAATGTCTCTGTGGCTTGCTAATAACTGAAATATTTGCTCCCGTGTCAATCAAAAATCTCATACCACTTTTTCGGTCGGTAATAGTGAGGCGGTTGGACGGGTGAATAGCACAGAGTTCCGCCGTTGTCCGTGCTTCAATTAGTTTCCCTGTTTCCTTGAGTTGAGATCCTGTTTCCAATCACAAGGTTGAACACACTTTTGTGCATATTTTTTAAATCTTCCATGGTAAAAACAAAAGTGCCTTCTTTCTCTTGAACTCGACTGTGGTAGGAAATGCCGACGATTGGAATAACTTTGAGTGCTGCGTCGATAGTTTTTTTGACCTTGCTGAATTGCATTTAGTTCCAATTGCATTTCTGCTAACTGTGCTAGTATGCATGACATTGTATCGTCGCCAGATTTGTTTCCGTTTACAGCTGACACCTCTGTACGTGTTGAATTTATTAATATCTTGTCCGCGATCTGGCTCATCTTGTTCACATCTATGTCTTCTGTGACTGCTAGAACCGAAGTAACTGATGGTGGCAGAAGCCTCAACCATAGAAGTTTGATGGTTTCGTCGCTGATATTTCCGTTACTCAGGGTCCGCATCTTGCGCAGAAGATGTGATGGTTTCTGGTCGCCGAGATCCATTTCAGACAATAATTTTTGGAGCTGACGTTGGTCTGATTCCTCATAGCAACTGATTAGGCGTTCTTTGATAGCCTTGTACTTTTCTATTGGCGGTGGGCAAGTAATGAGGTCACTAACCTGTATTATTTCTTCTTTTGGCAGTTTTGCAATGGCCGTATAGTACTTGTAATCGTCTCCTTGCTTCTGTGGTGCTACTATGGCTTCTAGTTGCTTAAACCATAATCTGGGTTGGTCCCTCCAAAATTCCGGTTCCGGCTGATATCTCCAAGGCTTCTTGTTGGCTGCTGCTTGATTTGCAGGGTGAATGAGTCATGTTGATTGTTCTTCGTCGGGTCACCAATTTGCCAGACTTCGTGGCAAGGTAAATAATGAGACTGTAGATGGTTAAGGTCTGTTTATTACTTTAATTGCTGGTGCTTATATACTAAGAAGATGCGTGAGATTTTCAGATTTAGCTATCCTAACAAACGTGCAACAATTAACATGTATGTCTTATCTCTATCGTATCTAAGTAATGTAGCGACGTGATAGTGCCGCTACAGTCCGCATCATAATCATCATCATATTACATGAGGACGCGGTTTCGTAACCTATATAGCAAGTACCAATGTGACTTTTTCCAGGTTATATGTACTTTCTACGTTTTAGGCACCACTACTACACTACTATTACTATACTGGTGAAGGAAAGCATCGTGAGGTAACCTGGACTTACATATAATGTCTAATGAGTTTGATATCGCCAATCCGTCTTGAGCAAGTGTGGTGATTAATCCGCAAACCTTCCCTGTCTGAGAAGAGGGGTTTGTTCAGCAGTGGACCCTTATAACCTGAAAATATGACCTGTGACCTTGATAACTATAAAGTGTGATGATAAAGTGTTTTAAGTAGCCAAGGAATGTACTTTAAGAGATAGAAATACAAGTTGTATCAATGTTCTTTCATTGAAAAGTCTCATTCATAAAAAAGCTTACTTACTTATACCTAATTCTAAATATATATAATAATATACCTAATAATTATAATTCTAAATGTACTTACTCAAGTAAACATACATGATATATAATAGATTTATTGTTTAGCGACACCTATATCATCAACTTACTAAAATTAAAAACTTAATTGGTGAAAACTGAATCTCAGTAGCGGCCGCCGCTTCGGGGAACGATTAAGCATTCATAAAACTAAACCTTGATTCGATTTTATTTCGTACACATAAAAACGAAACTAAATTAAAAGTTGTCGTCATAAAACTTTATAATTTTCACCGGCAATTAATTCATTAATATCTTAAATCTTAAACTGATAAACGAGAAAGTTTTTATTGGTGCGTATGAAAATATAATTAGCTAAAGATGTAATTTAGTTAGGAAACATTACTTATTCTCTAAGAAGTAATTCTGAGCTTGTACAATATTCTGAGCAGGGCAAATGATGGATCCTTGTAATTAGTTACGTAAAACAGCTGCGTCAAAACATTGGACGGACAACGATGTTTTTTATGAAGAAAGTGGATAAGATGAAGGACGACGGTGGATATCTCTCTTATAAGACTGAAATACTTTTTCAGTACTGAGGTTATTATACTAGTTTATGTAGTTTTGAGCGATATCTTACATATTATTAAAACTATACAAGGTAACTAACATTATCTATATAAATATAGGATTAATTATTATACGAATGTCCCTAACCTTTAAATGTCCAATCTACGCAACGCTAATAACAGCGATAAAATCGTCGCTTAGCCTTATGACTGCAATTATAACAATTACACGACATCACAATTAATTTACGGGACAAAGAAAATTATGGAGCTATTCACTCTAGTGTAATACAAAACTTTGAAAAATATAAAATAAGAAAACAGCAAACTTTCCCCGCTAACTACGAAGACAATTTTCCAAGAAGACTGGCCACGACAAAAAATACTCCCGGGACTAATTAATCTCTTGCAACATTATTTAAAACAAGGAAACCAGGTCAAGAAAATCAAAACCACGGCAGAAAACTATCAAGTACGTCTCTAACCTTCGCAATTAAAGAATGAACACAGCGACAATCGAATTATGACAATTTTAAAGTATTATGTTAGAGAATAAAGCTTAAAGTCCGATGTAACGATTGTGGAAGACGCAACGTTATGTCAGTACTCTGTAATCGAGACAGATGTGGGCTACGGCCCCATTGCGAGTGTGTAAAGAAACCAGTAATTAAGAGTGCTCCCAACAGTCGGGACTGTTCAAGAAAACGATATTTAAAAAAATATATTTCAAGCAAAGCGCCACTGATTTTGAATAATTAATGCTATCGTGAGAATTCCATGAATTTCTCGCGTGTTTAAGCGACGGTGATATTCGTCACAGTTTGTGAAGATGGCGGCGGGCGCTGGATGTGACAGGGAGACGGGTTGGACAGATGCCGAGGGTACGCGCTAGTTTCCCAATCGGCCCCTTCCACTCGTCCATCTCTAAACGATTCTGGTAATCGATTCTGGAGCACTTTGTGTGGGCCATTATTTCCAGTTAAGTTTTCTTTTCCTTTGAAGGATGACTCAATTACATTATTCTAAGCTCAAGTTTTGGGTCAAATTACCGTGAATGATGTATTCGAAGAAATGGTAAAATGAAAAAGATTATCCGCTTCCTTATTAAGCTCTTTGAAGACGACCGTTATAATCCCTTTGTGGTGTATTTATAATTCAATTGATTCAACATAATATTGTTTGATTAATAAATACTAGACTTGTATAAACGCGGTAGAACAAATATAATTAAGCAAGACTGGTGTAGCGGCGAGCCGTGTTTACATCGGCTCGATAGCCGCACACGTGCGCGTGCGCATATTACGCAATGTCACCAGCGCGAGAGTCGGCTGATTCATTGATTGAGGAACATTGATTGATCGAGTGCATTTTTATGTTAAATTATGTAAATAGCGGAGAGTTTGTAAGTGTGAAGATGGTAACAACCAAATTTAATCTTGAACGTGTGTCGCTGTACGCAATTAACCACACGTGGCGCTACGTACACTTTATCTAAGTTGCAAAACAAACGTGTAAAAACTAGAAATAGAAGACAACATGTACTTATAAAGAAATAAAAACGTTGTTTGCTGGGAATTCTGTGAACACACGATATTGAGCAATTTAAAACTTCCATAAGGAAAGGCGAGCGCGCTCTTTGAGTGGAGCACAAACAAATTGCTCCAGACTTTATTACTAGTAAAGTAAATATTTTGTTCTGTGATAACTTATTTATATATCGATTTGAGGAATGTAACACGATAGATTGAGAAACGATCAGGAAGACAGAACTAGTAAAAAAATACAAAAACATACAGACAGCCACCTTCCGCAAACACAGCATTTTAAAAACTATACGAACGGTTTGTGATATATAAATTAGTATTTGCTGCTTTTAGAAGCAGTAAAATTTTATTTCAAGATTACGTAATTGCGGAAACAGTGAGTCGTCCTGGTGAAACTCCGAACTTTCTTTGATTTAATTTCAATTGGAGAGTTCGTTTGGGACGGAAACATTTATCAGCAGAGTAATTAATTCGACATCAGCTATACCGCAGGTGCTTCACGTGGTACAAGTAAACAAATTCCGGTTAGCAGATGCTAGAACTAAACCTCAATTTTATCAATAAATATTTAGCAGTTAAAGTTCCCGAGAAAACGTCCTCAACTCATCGGATTTCGCGTTAAAACTATAAAATATTACGTTTTATGATTTTAAACATTTAGGTTTATTGATTATATGTAACACTCTGAAACGGTGCAACTTCCTAATTAATGTTATGGCTTGCGTGACATATTTTTAGTTATATCTTAACCATGATTTAATATTACTACAATATTTAAATGAAGAGTGGGTGCTGAGTACAATTTCAAACCCCTTCTAAGAAAATGTTATAAAATAAATTTGCTTTAACCAAATACATTAAAATCAAATACAAAATATTTTATGGAGTTAAAAAATATTGCCACGATATTTGGCACGTCCTAATTCAACTTCTTTTACACAAACATTGTGCACTTAGCTGCATATTAGGATAAGCTCAAATATCCAAATACCGGCTAAGCAGATAAAAAGTGCCTTCAACTTTATTTTTATAACATCGTTTGACATGAATCAGCGTGCAAATAACGATAAAGTCGATTCCAAGGAAGCGTGCGTTGTGCAGGTTGCTGCATCTTGCAAAAAACATCAATGTTCAGGCCTTACCAGATTCGTGAGGGGATAATCAAAATTTCAATAAAATTACCTTTTACCAAGATCACTTTGTCACAAAAGGTTAAATCCGTCTGGCATTCTCAATTGAATTGCGGTGTTAACGTGTCCAAGTTTAAGGCTGCGTTCAAAGATATCGCACTCTTTCTGAGAAAAAATGTAACTTCTTTTTTTTTAATTTTCCATGTGTCGTCGTGTAGTTCCAGTTAAAGAGTCGTTAGCCAATAAAGTTGTGACAGTACGAGTTTTATTAACGAAGTGAATGTCTGGGAAAAAGTTAATGGTGATCGAATGAGGACGAGCACGCTCCGGTGGTCCTGAGGAACTTGCAGCTGATGCAGACTGAATCACTTTTTTCTGGATTGCCAAGAAAATTAATGGACCATCTTAATGTTCCAGGCAACCCCGAAATCCGTCTGTTTTTACATTATAAACTGCTCATTTTTCAATTTGTTAACCAAAAAGTAATCGAGGATACAGTAATTGTCTGTTAAAACTTAGCTTCCGAGGTTAAGATGTCCGCGTATAATTTATATTTTAATAAGGAAATCGTAAAATATGTAACAGCACTTACAGCAAAAAACGTTCGGCCGCGGGTTAAATAAAAAATAAACGAAAATCGTCTGGAGCAACGTGTAATTAGTGCTGGAAATCTTCCGTGAACGAAAACGAACCAACTGTGAACTGAACAACAAAGTATTTTTTAGCAATTTATCTCCAAAGAGAATTTATTACGACATTTCCACAAAATAGCCGAATTATTTAGTTGGAGGCCTTGACATGGTCGTGGGACCCCGTAAAACATGTGTCTGGCCGTCGTAACACTGTTATGAGAGACGCAGCAATAAACTATACTAGATCAAATTAAACAACGGAATGGGGTAACAACTTTTCTTTTAGAATTACAGTCTTGTTGTTTTAATCCTCACATTACGGTGGATTTGTTTCGTTTGCGAAATTTTAAAGCAAATTGAACGTAGCTACTTTAAGGATAACTATGAAAGACTGGCAAAGTAAATTTAATATTTTATAGGTAGATAGCAGGGTAAA